TCCCAGTTTTTGATTGCTAACTCATCGTCAGTATTTACATTTGGTACATTACGAATGAGTATTCCGGCACATAGCGCGGGCAGTACTGCTGCCTTTGTTATGCCAGTGTAAAAGGGGCAATTTATTTTTACAAGAGCTACCTTATATCTTTCCTTATTACCTCCAAAAGTTCTGCACACAGTGTGCTCTCCTGTGTAGTCTTTCTCTTGCACTAATGCTCTGTGTACACCAATTAGTGTCGCGCCTGTATCTCGGATTACAGTGCAAGGTATACTGTTAGCGAATCCCCTGAAGTAGCGCAAGGATCCACTGGTCATGCTAGCCGAGTGTGCTTCTTGAATCGGCACAGTGTCCGCAAGTTAGATTCCCATCTTTATGGAATTCTTTGCATATCTTGCAGTTTTCGATACCCAGTTTGGCAATCTCTTGGACTGAGTTGGCTATTAAGTCTTCTTCCGATTCACTGCTTGATGAATTCAGGACCATATTAGCCTCTCTTATTATACTTCTTGCATGGCAGTCTCTGCGAATATGGCCAAATGCCCCACATTTGAAGCACTGTAGGTTTGTGGCATACCTTGTTACCTTAGATTGTTGTTTTTGGACAAAATCTTGTAGATACTTCATGTAATTTGGGTTTTTATCACACAAAGTCCTACTGATGTGCATCTATTCTCTTGTAAGAACGTCGACATACTAGCAGGAATTGAGACTAAAAGTTTATCACACACTAGCAAATCCTTCAATAAGTAGAAAGAGTCTTGGACTTTTGCTGCTTTCAGCCATCTATCTAGAGTACTCTGCACCTCTGCGACATAGTCCACAAACTTCTGGTTGCTTTTTGGTGCCAGAGTTTTGACAAGTGTTCTGTACCCTTCCTCATCAAGACTAAAATGGGCTAGTACTCGATCTCTCACATACTCGTAGTCCATACGGAGTTCTTCCGGTATAATTCCACAATTTTAAGGGGTTCCAATGCTAGATGTCTGTGAAAGATTATGTGCCATTCGTCCTTAGGAACAGAGTAGTGTTTCATCATAATCTCAAAGTTAGAGATCCACGCAGAGACCGAATCACCCTTAGTGAAGTTTTGAACAATGCCCTGATATCGTTTGATCTTGTTTTCAGAAGCCTTTATCTGTGCCTGTCGGAAACTACTTTCCATCTCCCTTTCTAGGTCCATTTCCTTTACTCTAACCTGCATGGCCACTTCTTTTTCTCTTATTGAAACTTCAGCCAGTAATTTTTTTCCCTTTCAAACGCTATTTGGGCTAATTTTAATTCCTTCTCTGCCTCTCTGTTCACTCTTCCATTAGCGAAACTGATCCTCTGACCATCTCTGTAGCTCTTTGTCTGCCAACCCCATCTTCTGCCCTAAGGTAATGAATTCTTCAAGTGACGTCATTTCGTGTACCCCTGGGAAATGCGTCGGGTATGCCGGGGTTCAATTGACGAGCTCCCAAGTTGTCAGACACCTTTTATAGGTGTGACACAAGTGCAATTGTTATTTGTGCCAGGTGTACCCACACTTCCATAATATGTAAACGCTGATGACCTTGTTCCAGTTCTTAAATAATGTTTATTCAAGAACTCATGATAATTGCAAAGTTAGTATGGCTTCCACACAACGTTATCGACTACTGAGTAGCCACAGATTTTATTCCTATGGTTCACAAGCACACTAATCTCAGGTAGTCACTGGCTAAATACATCAACAGTACGCTGGTATAGCTGATCACAAATCATCCTCGCAATATGAACAAAGTCATGAGAGGCTAGCTGATACCTCTATAGCAATAATTACGTATCCTCCTGGTTACCACACTTAACTTTATAATCCGGCTATACAACAGAAACACTTGTCACCAGTATGAATAACCACTACTGTTCTGTTCAGTTTTAAATCCAGTCCATTCCAAGCGAAAACAATTCGTACCTTTTAAAAGGGCCCCAAACAAACACATCCGTTCACTGGACTGTCCAACTACTAACTGCCCGTGAGTCGCTCTACCTGTTTGTCCAGTCCCCCTGTAACCTCCCCACTCAGTTACCTGTATCACCGTGCGGGTCTACACACAACCCGTCTGACCAGTAATTGACCTGTCTGCTGTTATGAGTCAGTCTAGTCGTTGTTTGTCTTGATTTCACAGTGTGTGGTACAGTTGACTCATGACATATGGATATGGTCGTTGCAACATGTGCCTGTACAGGCATTAAAGATAATCATCTAATTTTGGTCGCTGAAATTAGAAACATCATCAAAACATCAAAGAAGTCTGCTCCTGGCCCTGATGACATTATGAAGACATTGCCAAGCTGTCCACAACATCCATGGAGGTCCTATGTAAAGCCCACAATGACAGCATCTGTAATAGTATTATCTCAGAAAGCTGGCTGCATAGCTATTTGATTCTGCTAGAAAAACCTGGCAAAGATGCCACGAACATAAATGGCTTTAGAATCATTACGATGCAGAAAACAATAGGCAAAACATTGGAAAAGCTAATAGCGAAAAAAAACTGGCAAGCCATCCTGAAATACATCAGCTGCTACCCTCCACACTTGAAGGATACAGACAAAACACAGAGACAAAGCGTAATGCTGCGGTCTTTGCACATGACACAAAGTTTCCTTCCACCAACTTAATGTGTCAGTTAATTAAACTCAACATCCCCCCACATCTCATTCGATGGATATCAGCCACACTTTTCCAGAGGAAGGTCATGCTTTGATGTGGTAGTTGATCTTCTGAGCCGATAATATACCGTGGTTTGCCACAGGGTTCTCCAATGTCTCCTATCCTCTTCCAAATTTACACAGTCAAGATCACAGGAGAACAGCTGAGTGGCAGAGGACGAACTCTACCATATGCGGATGACATTCTTGTGAACCGACAGGGCAGGAACAGAGATGACATTGTTTCAGATCTACAACAGGAATTAGATCGCATATCATCCTGGTGCAACAACTCAGGGGCAACAATTAATCCATCAAAAGCGACAATCACCTGTTTCTCATCAAATAATCACCTTTCCGAAAAGCCAAAAAAGGTCTCTCCGCAATAAAAGTTATTGGAGCTGCAAACTCTGAGCAAAGGCTACTTGTAATGTTTTATCATACATTAGTTCTCTCCACCATTAAATATGCTTTGGCCATCGTGACACTTAGCGCCACACAGATGAACAGACTGGCAAAAATTGAAAACGAGGCAATGCGTATTATTCTTGGATGCACTAGAGACACCTCCTGTAAGACCATGCCATACTTCTTGGATTTCCCCACAATGGAAAACAGAATCAAGCTATCCAGGGCTGTTGCTTTCCTCAAAGCGAAGTCAGACCATAGACACTCACTTTATGAGGAATTATTTAAGCAAAACGAGGCAAATCCTGGATGGGTCGGGCTGAGGATGCCATTGAACATGTTTGCTGCCTTACTGATGTTAGTTTTGAAACTGAATGGATAATTATGCCACCTTCTACAAACATTATTATTACAGTCCATATCAGACTTGATTGAAGCTGTAGAGAGCAGATTCCTGGCATTGTTGACACTTTAGTCAGAACACTGATTGACGAAAACACAGATTAAGGTGATGCTAAAGTTTGGGTCAGTAATTAGGGGCAAGCGAAGTCCATGGGCATTCACAGTAAGCTCAAGGGGGAAAACCATCAAGGAGATGCCTTTGCTGTTACAACTAGTAGCCTTACAATGGAAACTATGGCTGTAACAAGGGCTTTAGCATGGCTTGGTACTCACAAGTTCACACACATATGCATTCTTAGTAACTCAATGGATATGCTTATAAAATCTGAGATGGATTTATCAGGCAAGAATGGACTGCAACCATAAGCACTTCACAAATAGCTGCTATAACCATCTTTGTGCCAGGTCATGCAGGGGTTCAAGGAAATGAACATGCAGACTATCTTGCTGACACTGTGGTTGTTAGGGCTGGTCCAGTACGGGACAGAAGTGATGTTATCAATGCCATGTGCTGCACTTACCGTACTGAGGAGCACGCCAAAGGACATGACTCCGTATCCCTGTCTAGACTGATGGACATGGGGGTGCAGTCTGGAGCTGCAAGACGTTTCATTAACCAACAAAGAACTGGCGTCATCAGTCATTTTACACTTGTAGAGCTTTTGAGGAGGAGAACGGAGAACATATAGATCTGTCCAGTGTGCTGTGATGATAATCCTTTCTAATCACTAATCACAAGCATACACACAGACATACACACACTCACACAGCAGACATAGACACATACACACACACACAGCAGACAGACACATACACACTCACACAACAGACATAGACACATACACACTCACACAGCAGACTTACACACTCACACAGCAGACAGACACATACACACTCACACCGCAGACATAGACACATACACACTCACACCGCAGACATAGACACATACACACTCACACAGCAGACATAGACACATACACACTCACACAGCAGACATAGACACATACACACTCACACAGCAGACATAGACACATACACACTCACACAGCAGACAGACAATTACACACACACCGCGCAGATATAGACACATACATACTCACACAGCAGATATAGACACATACACACTCACACAGCAGACATAGACACATACACACTCACACAGCAGACTTACACATACACTCACACAGCAGACATAGACACATACACACTCACACAGCAGACAAACATAAGACACATACACACTCACACAGCAGACAGACACATACACACTCACACAGCAGACAAACATAAGACACATACACACTCACACAGCAGACAAACATAAGACACATACACACTCACACAGCAGATATAGACACATACACACTCACACAGCAGACAAACATAAGACACATACACACTCACACAGCAGATATAGACACATACACATTCACACAGCAGACAAACATAAGACACATACACACTCACACAGCAGACAAACATAAGACACATACACACTGACACAGCAGACAAACCTGGCCATCTTTGCCTGGTGGGATGTTCAGCTCCATGTAGCCATGAGGTATGTATTGTTGTTGATAGTCGAATCTGTTCAGCTTCATCATCTGCTTCCTCACCCTGGAGTAGGCACCATCAGCTCCTACAATCAGGTCCACCTTTGTCCTGACCTCTTCTCCATGTTTACTAAAAGATAAAAATTATGGCTGCACTCACAAAGTAAATGTAATGTAACTCATGCTGGCACAGTTAACATGGCCTGTGACTGCTGTACTCTTCCTGGCACAGTTAACATGGACTGTTACTGTTGTACTCTTCCTGGCACAGTTAACATGGACTCTGTCTGTTGTACTCTTCCTGGCACAGTTAACATGGACTGTTACTGTTGTACTCTTCCTGGCACAGTTAACATGGACTGTGACTGTTGTACTCCTACTGGCACAGTTAACATGGACTGTTACTGTTGTACTCCTACTGGCACAGTTAACATGGCCTGTGACTGCTGTACTCTTCCTGGCAGTTAACATGGACTGTTACTGTTGTACTCTTCCTGGCACAGTTAACATGGACTGTTACTGTTGTACTCTTCCTGGCACAGTTAACATGGACTGTGACTGCAGTTAACATGGACTGTTACTGTTGTACTCTTCCTGGCAGTTAACATGGACTGTGACTGTTGTACTCTTGCTGGCACAGTTAACATGGCCTGTAACTATTGTACTCTTCCTGGCACAGTCAACATGGACTCTGCTGTACTCTTCCTGGCACAGTTAACATGGACTGTGACTGTTGTACTCCTACTGGCACAGTTAACATGGACTGTGACTGCAGTTAACATGGACTGTGACTGTTGTACTCCTACCTGCACAGTTAACATGGACTGTGACTGTTGTACTCCTGCTGGCACAGTTAACATGGACTGTGACTGTTGTACTCCTGCTGGCACAGTTAACATAGGCTGTGACTGTTGTACTCTTGCTGGCACAGTTAACATGGACTGTGACTGTTGTACTCCTACTGGCACAGTTAACATGGCCTGTAACTATTGTACTCTTCCTGGCACAGTCAACATGGACTCTGTCTGCTGTACTCTTCCTGGCACAGTTAACATGGACTGTGACTGTTGTACTCCTACTGGCACAGTTAACATGGACTGTGACTGCAGTTAACATGGACTGTGACTGTTGTACTCCTACTGGCACAGTTAACATGGACTGTGACTGTTGTACTCCTGCTGGCACAGTTAACATGGACTGTGACTGTTGTACTCCTGCTGGCACAGTTAACATGGACTGTGACTGTTGTACTCCTACTGGCACAGTTAACATAGGCTGTGACTGTTGTACTCTTGCTGGCACAGTTAACATGGACTGTGACTGTTGTACTCCTACTGGCACAGTTAACATAGACTGTGACTGTTGTACTCCTGCTGGTACAGTTAACATGGACTGTGACTGTTGTACTCCTGCTGGCACAGTTAACATGGACTGTGACTGTTGTACTCTTCCTAGCAAAGTTAAAAAGACTGTGGCTGTTGCACTCTAGCTGGCACAGTTAACATAGACTGTGACTGGTGTACTCTTGCTGGCACAGTTAACATAGGCTGTGACTGGTGTACTCTTGCTGGCACAGTTAACCCTTGCTGGCACAGTTAACAGAACTGTTCCCAGTCCGTATCCCAAAATTTGATTGACGAACCTACCACGGCTGCCACTTTAATCATAGTTATTTGTAGTCACCATGTTTGTACATACCAAATTAATAAAAAAAATAATAAAAATACTTGAGTCGTCCGTTGCTGAAAAGTAGCAGGAACTGAAAGGAAAATTTACAATAATAAAAAAAAAACACACAACTTCGGGGGTTGAACACACGACCCTCCGATTCTAAGGCGAACATGATACCAACTACACTATGCTACCTCTTGACGCATTGTGCTGTGTGAATGATAATAATGAATAATGTGCGCAGACTATCAATAATGTGTCTAAGTTTGTAGTCTATCGCCACCTGCATGAGCACTGTTGTCTGAGAAATGTTTGAGATTCTCAACAATAGTAAAAAATATGTACCTCGACATTATTTCACAGGAGTTTTTAGGAAACAGTCTTTGCTCAAGTATTCTATTTTGAGTTTCTTTGTTCTAAGCATTAGCAGACAGACAGCAAAAAAAAAAAAAAAGTTCGTCCGAATCTGTCTGTCCATTGGGAAAAACGAGAATTTTTAGTGACTGAACTGTTTGAATTTACCGTAGCTGAATTACAGCCAGAGCTGGAGTCATCAAAATTATGCACTACTGATATCAAATCATCAGTTCATCAAGACAACTGATCAATTTGTTGCCATTTTGATGGCGCTTCATTGTCGCTGCTCTCTGATTCCGACGATGAGGACGTCGGACAGGCAAACAGCTTTTTTTTGGACACGCCGGTTTCAGCAGTCGATACTGATGGCCTAGTCAAATCTTTTTGTTCACTGTCAGAAGTACACATTTCAAAGTCATCTTCGCTATCACTTCTTGACAGAAACTCCATCAATTCTTCATCAACTTTAACAAGTTTTCTTGCCATTTTGTACTAAGTGTAGAATAATCCAAAAGCACAAATATATATCAGGGCACAAATACACAGAACACCGACCACGATGTCACGGTAAACAAAGCAACGGGATAACGCAGAATGCAGTAAATACACCTTAAACACACCAAGTGCCAGTGCTTTTAATCATATGTAAATGGGTCAGTTTAATCTAAATATAGCTAATGTATATTGCCCTTCAGCCAATAAAATATGGGGTAACAAATCTGTAAGAAAAGTCCAAAAATGGCTTGGGACGTCCATAGCACTGGGGGTCAAGAAAAAAAATAACGTCTAAAGATGGGCATAGCAGCGTACGGGAAATCGGGAAAAGGCGTCCATAGCAGTGAAAGGGTTAACATAGACTGTGACTGTTGTACTCTTCCTGGCACAGTTGGCATAGACTGTGACTGCTGTACTCTTGCTGGCACAGTTAACATGGACTGTGACTGTTGTACTCTTTCTGGCACAGTTGGCATAGACTGTGACTGCTGTACTCTTGCTGGCACAGTTAACATGGACTGTGACTGTTGTACTCTTTCTGGCACAGTTAACATGGACTGTGACTGTTGTACTCTTGCTGGCACAGTTAACATGGTCTGTGACTGTTGTACTCTTGCTGGCACAGTTAACATAGGCTGTGACTGTTGTACTCTTGCTGGCAACGTTAACATGGCCTGAGATTGTTGTACCCATGCTGGCAAAGTTAACATGGTCTGTGATTGTTGTACCCATGCTGGCAAAGTTAACATGGCCTGTGATTGTTGTGCCCAAGCAGGTAAAGTTAATATTGTTGTTATGCTAGCACAGTTAAGCGGACTGTAACAAAAACTACATGGTCACAAAACAAACATGAATCAAGAGCATATTCACACAATGTTGATTGTTGAATTTAGAATCTAACATTATGTGACTTGGGACACTCCCATAAGCTCTCCATCCCCCATCTTCAGCAGCAAACAAAGAGTTCCAATTCCAATGGCACCAGAAGCTGTCCAATTGTACATCCGTCTCCCTTTTACCTTGAGTGTTAAGTGTTGGCCAGATCCCAGGGTTACTCCTTGCAGCAAAATTCTCCTCAGACCATAAAGATCTCTTTGTGTTTCCACACTATTCACTCGTTTCCAAAGGACCTTCACAACATCTAGCTTGTCATACATCAATTCACCACCAACTGGTGCAAAACCAGACAGTCTATCTGCCTGTTTATTTCTCAATGCACCTGCATAACCTAGAGAAAATATCCTGCTGGCCAGTACCTGCACTCACAGCTGGCCAGTACCTGCACTCACAGCTGGCCAGTACTTGCACTCACAGCTGGCCAGTACCTGCACTCACAGCTGGCCAGTACCTGCACTCACAGCTGGCCAGTATCTGCACTCACAGCTGGCCAGTATCTGCACTCACAGCTGGCCAGTACTTGCACTCACAGCTGGCCAGTACTTGCACTCACAGCTGGCCAGTATCTGCACTCACAGCTGGCCAGTACCTGCACTCACTGCTGGCCAGTACCTGCACTCACAGCTGGCCAGTACCTGCACTCACAGCTGGCCAGTACCTGCACTCACAACCTAAACTGATTAGAACCTTATACAAGTCTGATTCTTGCTGGGACACTTAAGACTCCTCTCTTCGCTCAAATTTATCGAGTCTGCACACAAGTCCTATTGTGTCTTCAGCTTGCACCATCCAAGACCTTCCTCTGCTCAGTCTGTGACCCTTAGCTCTATCCAGGGCTTTATGAAGGAGGTGCTTCTTGTCCGCTGCTACTCTGAGATATGACTTTGCCTGCAGAACTTTGAGCCTATCTGCAATAGTAGGCAGTGCAAGTAAGTATATATCGTATACATACTACCCGGGTATCTATTGTACATCCCAGAATTACCCCATGGCTTCATTCTGTATGCGTTTAAGTTTCATTAGCTAACACTTTGATATGGTAGGCATTCCAAGTCCATAATCTATCAATGACAGGATCACATGCTGGAACACTGTGAACAGATTTCTTTGTTTCATGTCCATTGCTGCCATAATCTTGAAAGCATTGAGTCTTTGTTGGTATTTCACCATAACTGCCTACACATTATCTCTGAAGGACAGGCTTCTATGAAAATGATACCCACCCAGGTTTCTAAGTTTGCTTTCTCTTTTGATGTTTCTGTCATTAAATGTGACATGGTTACACAACAAACATGAATCGAGAACAGCTTACTTGTAAAAGATGGCTTCTCCTGAAAGAAAGTCACAGGCCATGAGTTTGTGAGAGAAGAAGATGCGGACATTGTTGTACTGCTCCGCTGCTGCAATCAGAACATGTGGCCATATAAGAATTGGATAGTAGAAAACACACAAACATCTGTACATACAATTGCCATAAATTAATTTGATGTTTTATGCAGCACATCGACACACCATACCCAATTATCAGTCAGTCAGCCATTCAATGCATCACTCAGTCAACCAATGCATCACTCAGTCAACCAATGCATCACTCAGACAACCAGTGAACCACTCAGACAACCAATGAACCACTCAGTCAACCAATGCATCACTCAGACAACCAGTGAACCACTCATACAACCAATGAACCACTCAGACAACCAATGAACCACTCAGTCAACCAATGAATCACTCAGTCAACCAATGAATCACTCAATCAACCAATGAACCCTCAGTCAATCAATGAATCACTCAGTCAACCAATGAATCACTCAGTCAACCAAAGAATCACTCAGTCAACCAATGAATCACTCAGTCAACCAATGTCTCAATTGGTTAGGTGTCATTTCCACAGTGGAACTGCAACATTATTTCTGGCTTTGGGTGTAAATCCTTTGTATCTTGATGCTTTGCACCTTTCTGTCTTTCTAGACAGAAATGAAATATTTCACTTGTCACTTGTTGTACCTTTCTTCAAGAACCATCTGTTCATCTTCAGTCTCTACTGACTACAGAATCTAATTGTTTTACAGGAAATACAACCTATACTTCTTTTTATTCTTCTATATATGTGAATAATCCAAAACTATGCTCAAACTACTGTACCATTGCATTAATAAGTCTTGCTAGCAAAATCCTCTTATGAATTATCATGAAAAGGATTGAAGAGAAATTACAATATGAACTAGATGAAGCACAAGCGGGTTTCAGACAGGGTAGAGGAACTAGGGAATCACATATTTAATATGAGAATAATTTTTGAAAAATGCAGAGAATACAATGTAGATCTTCATGCTTGTTTTATTGATTATAGCAAGGCATTTGATTGTGTCCAGCACCACCAACTGAGGACTATTATGAAAAGTTTGGGGTTTCCAGAGCATTTAGCGCATTTAATTAAAAATCTATCATGAACAACAAGCAGCCATCAGAGCAGCTGGTGAAACATCTGATTGGTTTGAGGTGCAAAAGGGGGTGAGGCAGGGGTGCATTCTCTCACCATACCTATTCAACATATTTGCAGAAAATATAATGAGAAATGTCAAAAAATGACCAGACTTGTGACAGTTATGATCCATTCAAAATTGGTGGCAACCCTATTCCGGAACTCTGCTACGCAGATGACACAGTCCTCCTTTCGAACAGCGTAAAGGGTATAGAAAATTTAATATTGTCTGTCTAAAAGCACAGGGAAGATCAAAATCTGTTCTTGAGTTTAAAGAAAATGAAAATAATGTCCACAGATAAAACTGGCTGTCACCCAAAAATAAAAATAAATGAAGAAATTGAAAATGTCACAAACTTTGAATATCTAGGCTCTATAATAAACAACAATGGAGACTGTTTGACAGAAATTAAAAGGAGGATGGTCATAGCAATACAAAGATTGAACAGCCTTAAAAGTCTATGGTTAAGCACCAGCAAGGAGATAAAAATTAGAATTTTGAGAGCATGCATCTTCACTGTGGCTACATACGGATGTGAGTCTTGGACTATCTCTCAGTCCTTAAGAAAGAGAATAGGAGCTTTTGAGCTGAAATGCTATAGAAAGATTCTCAGAATATCTTGGACAAAGAAGATGAGAAACATTGACATCTCAAAAAATCTGAACATCAAGGAAGATTGGCTAATAAACAGCATCCTTTCTCAAAAGCTGAAATATTTTGGTCATATCAAGCGCCAGGACAGTGGAAAAAATTATAGCAGAAGACATGGTACCAGGAAGGAGAGGCAGAGGCCGACCGACACGAAGATGGGTACAGGATATAAGTGACTTCTTGAGTGTGAAAGTTCATGAGGCTGGAGAACTGGCAAGAGACCGAGTTTCTTTCAGGCTGACTGTGATGAGAGTGATGTTCTGCAAAGGACCTGCTACATGATGATGATATATGTGAATATATATATCCACATAGCCAAGGTCTATTCTTCCGCATATCCATGAATCCCTAGACTATTCTTCTGTATATCCACGTTATCATTCACCTATTCTTTTGTATATCCACATATTCATGGTTAATTCTTCTGTATATTGATGGTCTATTCTTTTGCATATCCACGCATCCATGGTCTATTCTTCTGTATATCCACATACCCATGATCTGTTTTTCTGTATATACACAAATCCATGGTCTATTCTTCTGTATATCTACTATCATTCATCAATTCTTATGTATATCCACACATCCATGGTCAATTCTTTTGTATATCCACATATACATGGTATATTTTTCTGTATATCCACATATACACGGTATATTTTTCTGTATATCCACATATACATGGTCTTTTCTTCTGTATATCTATGTATCTATGCTTCTACATATCTATGAACTATTCTTCTGTATATCCACATATCTATGGACTATTCTGTATATCCATATATCTATGGACTATTCTTCTGTATATCAACATATCTATGGACTATTTTTCTGTATACCCATATATCTATGGACTATTCTTCTGGATATCCACATATCTATGGTCTATTCTTCTGTGTATCCATATATCCATAAACTATTCTGTATTTTCACATATCCTTGAACTATTCTTCTGTATATCCATATATCTATGCTATTACATATCCATGAACTATTCTTCTGTATATTCACATATCCATGAACTAGTCTTCTATATATTCACATATCCATGAACTATTTTTCTGTATATCCATATGTCTATGCTTCTACATATCCATGAACTATTCTTCTCTATATCCATATATCTGTGCTTTTACATATCCATGAACTATTCTTCTGTATATCCATATATCTATGCTTCTACATATCTATGAACTATTCTTCTGTATATTCACATATCTGTGGTCTATTCTGTATATTCACATATCTGTGGTCTATTCTTCTGTATATTCACATATCTGTGGTCTATTCTTCTGTATATTCACATATCTGTGGTCTATTCTTCTGTATATTCATATATATGTGGTCTATTCTTCTGCATATCTACATATCTATGAACTATTCTTCAGTAAACCCACATATCCATGAACTATTCTTCTGTATATTCACATATCTGTGGTCTATTCTTCTGTATATCCACATATCCATGAACTATTCTGTATATTAACATATCTATGGACTATTCTTCTGTATATCTACATATCTATGAATTATTCTTCTGTATTTCCAAATATCTATGGTCTATTCTTCTGTATATCCACATATACATGGTCTATTCTTCTGTATATCCACATATACATGGTCTATTTTTCTGTATATCCACACATACATGGTATATTCTTCTGTTTATCCACATATCTATGAACTATTCTTCTGTATATCCATATATCTTGGCTTCTACATATCCATGAACTATTCTTCTGTATATTCACATATCCATGAACTATTCTTCTGTATATCCATATCTCTATGCTTCTACATATCTATGAACTATTCTTCTGTATATCCACATATCCATGAACTATTTTTCTGTATATTCACATATCCATAAACTATTCTTCTCTATATCCATATATCTATGCTTCTACATATCTATGAACTATTCTTCTGTATTTCCACATATCCATGAACAATTCTTCTGTATATTCACATATCTATGGTCTATTCTTCTGTGTTTCCACATATACATGGTTTATTCTTCCATATATATACAAATCCATGGTCTATTCTTCTGTAAATCCACATATCCATGTCTATTCTTCTGTATATCCATAAATCCATGGTCTATTCTTCAGTAAGAGATATTCACCCAGTTTGTAATACTCCTAAAATATCAAAAATCTACAGTTTTAGCCTCTGATATTTATTCCCTCTTTCCTGACTAAATGGGTGCAACAGACATGTCTCCATGCTGGTCAACAACTACTGGTATCACAGTTCTTCTTTGTTGACTTTTCTCTGCTGGTCAACAACTACTGGTATCACAGTTCTTCTTTGTTGACCTTTCCCTGCTGGTCAACAACTAATGGTATCACAGTTCTTCTTTGTTGACTTTTCTCAATGCTGGTCAACAACTACTGGTATCACAGTTCTTTTTTGTTGACTTTTCTCTGCTGGCCAACAACTACTGGTATCACAGTGTGTGTTTGTTGACCTTTCCCTGCTGATCAACAACTACTGGTATCACAGTTCTTCTTTGTTGACTTTTTTTCAACGCTGGCCAACAACTACCAGTATAACAGTTTTTCTTTCCTGTTTCTATTGCTATTTGTAAGCAGAGGTTGGACAAAGTTGCCACCTTTCAAGCCCAAGTTAAGTCGCAAGTCATTCCCGCAAACTTCCAAGTCGAGTTGCAAACCATTCCCACCAAGTTTTAAGTCAAGTCTAAAGTCACCCAGAATTGTTTCAGATCAGATTCTAAGTCAAGTCACTTCATGTCATTCACAAGTCGGGCACGGATCAATCAAAGATGGCAAAAATACCAAATCAGAAACGGCAGTGCCAAAAACTCCCTAATTTTTTTTATATACAAGTGGAAGAAGTCAAACATGGAAGCTTGATGAATCCAAAGAATTTATTTTGTCCTGTTTTATTTAAAGACAAACTGTGTCATCGATCACCAAACATCACAGTCGCAGGCCATGAAGAACGAGTTGTACCAAGTCACTGAAGCTACAAGTCATAAGTAGAGTAACAAAACGCTAGACAAAACCCAAAGTCAAGTCGCAAGTCATTAATTATGCTACTTAAGTCAGACTAGAGTCCAAGTCATGTGACTCGAGTCCCGAACTCTATTTTCAAGGTGTAATACGGTGAGGCCCAATCTTCTCCCACCATCCACCAATGTTCAATATTGTCTCTTGAACACAGCTCACATAGCTTTTCTTCTTATAGTCCACGCTATGTGGTGTTGGTAGTCATGTCTGTCTACAACCTTCTGTCTT